CAATATGAAAAAATAAAAAAATAAATAATTGAAATTCATGTACATGTACATTTAACATGAGTTATATACATGTACAATAGGAAACAAAAAGACACAATTCTAACTTAAGACTGTTTTCCATAATAATTCAGTAATGGGGAGGATGGGGTCACTTAGGTATTTGATGGGGCAAGTGTATTGTATTCATAGACTTATTTTCATTGGAAAAATAATGTTCCCCCCTCCCCCGTTTACAAATTTGAGGTAGGTTTTGTCAATCTATGATAATCTACAGTTTCAGTTCATTCATAGAAAATTCCATTTATAAAATTATTTTTCTAATAACCTCTCTGTTTTTCTCCTGCTTGCTATCAAAGCTGTAGCCTGGAATCCACTGTAAGCTGTACGTGTACACTTTCCACTTTTATTCATTTCAAATAATCATCCAACCATTAAAAGTTTTTAGACACTTTAGAAAGTTGACTTATAAATGTAAACAGATATTTACCAAACTACGAGAAATGAAAGTAAATACGTGACTACTTTTGCACACTGAATTCCGCATCGTACACAAGAGACCCGTGGGCGGCACTTGACATTACTCTAAAACATGTGGAATGCCCTTGGAAATGAAAGATTATGAATGAATGCTCTTTGAACGGGGGAGGTACTGGTAGTGTACTCCAAATCATATGGAATGTCGTGAGAAAGATTAAAATCCAACTAATGTTTGTGAATTGTGAGACAATATTTGAAGATGTGTGGGCGATTCCATAAACCTCCTCACTACATGTACTGAGTGACCACATGTGCCTACCACCCATAGGAAAGTGAAAAGTATGCCGCAGACCTGCCGCAGACCTGCCGCAGATCTGCCGCAGACCTGCCGCAGACTTTTAGTCTGCGGCAAAGAGTATGCCGAAGTATGCGGCAGAAAGAAATTTTGCTGCAGACTTGCCGCATACCAGTATGCCACAGGAACAGTCTGCGGCAGATCTGCGGCAGGATGAAATTTTGCTCCAGACTTGCCGCATACTAGTATGCCACAGGAACAGTCTGCGGCAGATCTGCGGCAGGATGAAATTTTGCTCCAGACTTGCCGCATACTAGTATGCCACAGGAACAGTCTGCGGCAGATCTGCGGCAGGGCGAAACTTTGCTCCAGACTTGCCGCATACCAGTACGCCACAGGAACAGTCTGCGGCAGGTCTGCCACAGGAAATCCCATTAAAGTCTAATAGGGCCAATTGAAACCAATCATCTCATGCATATTCATTATTACTTTACACGTGTGACAGAAAAATACATTTATCATGATTTGTTAAGCAAATTAAGACAATGCACATCAGTTTTGTGATTTCTATTTTCCTTTTGCCATTATTAACCAATAGATTATTTTGTCTGATCATGTTACAATTACATTCACGTTTAAGCAATAGATATATTGATTACTAACCAAGAAACTATGATTACTAACCAAGAAACAATATACATATTTAGTATATATATGTGTACGAGCCTGTGTCACTTTAAATGTTACTCTTGAATACACTTCAAATGATCAATGTGATGAAGTTAATACAATTGAGAATAGAATATACCTAATTGGTAATATCGACATATATTGGTATTACCTAATTGGTAATATCGATATTGCCAATATTGATTTTGAAGTATCAATCAGTTTATCACTGGTTCTTCTACATGCATACTTTATTGCCACGTACTGGATATGAAAGAGTATGCGGCAGGTCTGCAGCAGGTCTATATGAGATATGAATATTCATGACGAAGAGTCTGCGGCAGACCTGCCGCAGACTCTTCATCATACTGAAAGAGTATGCGGCAAGTCTGCGGCAAGTCTGCGGCAGACCTGCCACAGACTCTTCATCATACTGAAAGAGTATGCGGCAAGTCTGCGGCAAGTCTGCAGCAGACCTGCCGCAGACTCTTCATCATACTGAAAGAGTATGCGGCAAGTCTGCGGCAAGTCTGCGGCAAGTCTGCGGCAAAACTAATTTGCATGTGAAAAAGATGACTGTCTGCGGCAGGTCTGCTGCAGATCTGCGGCAAGTCTGCCGCAGGAGTATGCGGCAGGCTCATTTCTTTCCTATGGGCATGTACGCTACACACACACACACAATGTAGGTGTATTGGAGATTCTTTAAGCACATGGCAATATTAGCTAAAGTATTCATTCAAAGTATACATTTTCTTTCTTCTAAAACTTCATTTTGAAAAGAAAACTGCATTGGATGATCAATAATGTGGCTCTAATTGTATTAAAAATTGCATATCAGTAGCAAATCTTATTGTGTAAAATATATTTTGTTACGAAGAGAGAAAAAAAAAGTCAATTAATTGTGCAATCATGTACACTGTAGGTCATAGAATATTTTACAGAAAATGAGAAAAATAAAACAAATATCCTTCATACTATAATGCTTCTATGTGACATAAATACTTAAAAGCGTTTACATTTTAAGCATACAATGCCATAAAAAAAATGTCAAACTTAAGGAATTCTAATTCGTTGACCCCCTTAAATTTAAACCACAGCTTATTTGTCGCTTTAAAACTACATATTCAAGTGGGTGGATACAAAATGCATACCAAAGATCTTACAAGTAAATGCTCCCAACCCCTTTTCTTCTCGTTCTCTAAGAAATCTCCCACTCAAAAAATCTGTTTAGATTCAGTTCTGATCTCTTTGTTAGTTAATGGAAAATCTAACTAAAATGAGACACGCATCTACCAGCATATATGTACAGACCTGCAGAGTCACAAGTACAACGTATAAAGGTATAGATTGTCCGTGGGCAGATAAGTAGAATTGAGAGGTTTACTATTACATCAAGTATGGGTGGATTCAAATTTTTCGTTTTTAATGACCTGTATTACAGATCTGCGTTTGAATATTGATATAAATGATGTCATCGATTACACCTACATATACCATTCTTTTGCAACGAAGATGATGACAAACACAAGTATGTGTATTGCTCACACTCCGTCAGAAGACATTAGAGATATATGTAGCATTTACATGATAATAACAAACACTATATTTCAAATCTTTCTAGTGGATTTGGTGTATCTGATAATTCTATCTGAATTACAATAAAAGGAATGTTCTTATAATCATTGTTTATGGGCATTCATGGCAGTGTGATTTCAACTGGTATATATTCAATGCCTATTTGAAGTTAATGATGTAAAACTTTTAGAAAGCAATTCCTACTGTAGACTTCAAAGATAACATGCCGACGTACATGTACATATATGAGTACAAATGCATGTGTGACAATAAAATGAAAAGGAATGAAAGAGGGAGTAAGAGTGGGAGTGAGATAAGGGGTAAGAGAGGAAGATAGAGATAAAAAGAGAGAGAGAGAGAGAGAGAGAGAGAGAGAGAGAGAGAAGGGAATGAGAATAGAGAGATGAGATAGGTAAAGGAAGAGGAGAAAGAGAAAGAGAAGCAGGGAACAAAACAAGGTGAAAAAAAAAGAAAAAAGTATGTATCAATTATCAATTATGTACTTGTCCACCATGAGAAACATGCGCTTTTTTAGAATAGAAGGCAAAGAAGGAGGAAGAGGTGAAGAAGGAAGAAACAAAGAAATAAAGGAAGACAAACAAAATAGTGAAGAAGAAAAATAGAGGGGAAAAGAAAAGAAGAAGAAGTAAAAAGGGGAGAAGAAGGAGGAGCAGGACAGAAAAAAGAGGAGAAGGAGGAGAAGAATGACAGACAAAAGGATGATGAGGGAAATCTGCTACAGTTACAAAGTAGGGCCTACATGTATGTACCTGTATTTTAAAGAAAAACCTTCAAGTGTCAGGAATACTGATGTAATTTCTTGATCAGTATAACAAACTTGTTTAAATGACACTTCACTTAATGAAAAAACAGTTTTACTTTTTCAGAGAAAAAATGAAACGGAGAAGGTCATTTCCAGGTCACGTACTAGCACATCTTTCACAACTTCCAATTCATTCCAAGACTGTCTTTAGCCATGATTTTCTTAAGAAGTGTGAAATCAAGCCCTGCACTATTCTGATTTTCTTCTTTTGGAAAACACAAACCCTCCCTCACACTGCTACAATATCTGTCGGTTATGCCCCCCCCCCCCCCCCCACCTTTCGATTGCATTTACAGCCCCGCATGTAGAGTATTGTGGGTGCAGAAATAACAGCAACAAACAAACAAACACAAAATGAGTAAAATTTTCCACCTCATTTGTTTTTATAGGCCGGACAATGTAAGTACTGATCACTATGGCAACAAATGCATTTCACACGCAATTGTTACTGAATGGTTGAGGTTTTTTTTTTCTTCAGTTCTCTACATTTTCTAAAAAATTATTGTCAAACTGTTAATTGAAGAGAAGAATAGTGTGCTCGGTAAATAAATTCCTCCTTGGTTTTCAAGTTAAATAGTTATAATGGCTGTACATCCACTTACCGGAAAAGAGAAATCACCAATAATTTTACTCTCTGCCCTAATCCACAAACACACACACACACAGAGCTTATGGCTAGAATTCAGATAACAATCAGAAGATTAAATGTAAAAAAACAATTGTTTATTCAGCTTAATTTCATTCACTTCCATAATAACAGTGGTATATTAAAGAGGTCCATCATTTGGAAATCTACCAACAAATGAAAACCAAATGGAAACTGGCTTTCAACGATTACTTTTTGAATGTTTAATTCCAGATATTCATTTTCTAGACTCGAAAAATGTATGTTGTATGTAATTCATATTGAATTTGGCCGTTATATCTGTTGTTTTGAGAATATTTAGCTCCCTCTGCAACAATATGAAAACAGCACTAGATTTCTAATTCTTACAGAAGAAGTTTTAGAACCTATGACTTTAAAAACACACACACAATATCTGAAGGATATAACATTTGCTATGTTTCGTGAAGTTTGCACAAGCCTGCAAAAGGGAGTTACTGCCTTTTTAATGACCTCTTACACTTAACATCAAACAATATAACAAATACTAGACTCACCTCTGTGCATTATGTCATGCACATCTCTTAAATAAATGAGCCCCCTCAAAACCTAGACAAATTGGGAAAGAAAGGGGGGAAAAAAAGGAAAATTGACAAATATTGAAATAAATTCTTGATTGTTAATGCTTATATCAAAATTATCAATGTTCATTTCATCAATCAATCTGCAATCTGTATTTCCACTGATATAAAGTACCATGAGGAATGGGAGAGTTGTCATGACTAACGTTACAATCCACTGACCAAATTGCCCAATTCAGATTATCATAGATTTAATGATCTCTTATTTCAAGCATTAATAAGTCCCTGATTATTGGTTCGATTCATTTCAAACTTTTGCCTATATTCTGATTTTCTTATTTTTTCTGCTTCAATACAAATTATTACCAGGGTTGGATTACCAGAGCTGCCAACCTTGTGCGACCAAAAAAAGGAATCATGATGGCAAAAAAAAAAAGGAATTTCAAGCAAAAAAAAGGAATTCATGAAAACGAAACTTACAACCACGCGCGACACAATTCCAATGCAGAAATGTTCATTCATCATGCTGTTTTTTCCATACAAGCAGGTAATTTTTTTGGTGGTTGATTTGATTTGATTTGATTTGATTTTATTTATTCATCATCAATAACATCAGTGATTAAACATTTGAATACATTGTGAATGGTACATGTTCATAAATGAATATTATAGATCATATTAAAGAAAAACCTAACAAAGTATTGATATGCTAGACATATGTCTTTTCTCATAGAATATAGAAGGTGATGAAAAGGAGCCAAATAATAGCACATGTGCTAGTCGAGTCTGGCCCCTGTTCTTAGCACACACTTGGCAAAAATAAATATATCATTATCAAAAAATAAAACTTGACAGTAGAAGTATACATGTTGAGTAATACCGTAGCACAATTTCTACACTCCAAATATAATTATGAAGAGGATATACCAGGTTAAAAAGTCATAGATACATGTATCTACAGATTATTTATACAAAAAATTGCATTTTTTTGACAAAAAAAAACAACAAAAATGTAATATGGAGATTATTTACAATAATATACATGTGTACTTGCATAATTCAATCACTTATTCATCAAGTAATCGTTGAGATGTTTACGAAAAGTGTTTCTAGACCCTTTGTTTTTGATTTCATCGGGAAGTTCATTCCATAATCGGGTTCCTACACAAGTTACTGAAAATTTGCCTTGTGTTGTTTTATACAGTGGTATACGTAGATGGCCCTTTTCTCTTTTTCTTGTATTGTATCTATGCTCAATTTTATCACAATAATCCTCGGCATTTCATTTTTTTTGAGAATATTTTTCTCTTCAAGTATGTTTTAAAATTAGTTTTTTATTGAAGTTGTGATCAAATCACCAATTTAGGGCAGTTGTTTGACGTGCGGTATGTAAAAAAAAAAAAAAAAATAAATAAATAAATAAAAAAACATTTTATGAAGAAAAAACGTAAATTTGGAAGAAAAAACGTAAATTTGGAGGAAAAAACGGGAGTAATTCCGGCAAAAACGGAATGGTTGGCAGCTCTAGATTACCATTTAACCATAAGATTGCTTGTGCTTTACAAGGTTATAATAAGTACAAGTACATGTAAAACTTGAGTTTCTAAAACAAGTGTATGATCTGCACGGTCCTTAGTTACAGTACAAGATACTTGTACTGTCATGATAATTGACTATCATGTAGGAACCCTCTGCACTATTTATATTCAGAGTAGGGGAATCCCCCTGTGTAGTTGCCCACCTACACTTCCCCCACCAGTAACATTGAGAGCAGAGACCACAAGGTCACAGTCAAAAAGTTCACTTTTCACCTCCCAGGCACAGGTGATGCTAATTATTTAATAATAATAATAATAAAATTCACATAAGTTTAATCATCTTGTTTTGGAGGTACATGGATGTAGCAAACTTATTATGAAATAAGATAGACAGAGATGTAGGAAATTTAGACTTACTGCAACTGTGACCTTGCCAAGGATATTTTCTGGTATTCTTCCCTTGGGTGCTGACTTCATGACTTGATCTAAAGAACCGCCATCCTGTCAAAGAAACAAAAATAATTAATAATTATATTAAATACTTCACCAATTCTTTTGTGTCACCAACATTTTGAACAATTATCAGAAGTGAACTTTCAAGTTTTCGATTTTTACCTCAGCTTCATTGCCTATTATTAAATAGGGCTTAAAATATATACAACTGTTTCTGGAAAAAAATACCCATAGCAAAATGACCTGACCTACAAAATCTTAGCTACAGCAATATATGGTTCATGTATTACAGTGTACAATAAATTTTGGTGTGGATATATTGTTGGTTTTGTGCTGGTCTCAACAAAACCTGGGTTATGATATTAGGGTTCAGTGACTTCAGTCAGACTGTCGCTTTGCATAAATTTGCTTGTGATTTATGCAATTCCTGGCGATTTCTGACTAAAGCTTCATTCACACAAAAGCAGGGTTCTCTACATGTATGCAGTATGCACATTAGCTCTGTAGTGTATTTTGGTTGCTAGCCAGGTCTTGCCTAGCTAGACCATAACTTTGAGTGGTCAGTGTTATGAGGTGGACTGCACAAAATTCATACAAAACAAATGGCAACATTTTTATAGTTGCTGTACTAAGGGCTGGAAAGGCATTACGTTGCAAATGAGGATCTCAATATCCTTGCCCCCAGGCAACTGCCAATTTCGAGCTGATTAGTAAAGACTAGTGCTATAGTCAAACGTTTAACTGTCCGGTATCCGACCGCCCATGGCGGATTCCATTTTCAATTGGACGGTTCGTTTTCCTGTTTTGTTTTTTTTTAAATTTAATTTTTAATTTTTTTTTTTTTTTTTTTTTTAAAGTTTCAATTTATATATGCCCCTCCACCTGGTACTATCCCTGGCAATGTCTACCAGCTCAGTAATCTATGTGTTGACTCACCACTCCGAAACTAGAACAACACTCCGATTTGTCTGTCATCTTGGTTTGAAAGTAATCTTTGTAATAGATCTCAATATGTAGTTTATAATAATAATTCATCCAACTTTTACACACGGCGTACCACAAGGTTCTATCCTAGGTCTTCTAATGTTTTTAAATTACATTAATGATCTTACACGTTCTTCTAAATGTTCTTTTAAATGAATATTCTTCCCGCGTGGGTTTTTTTCACAGTCGGTCAAAAAAACAACTAAAAAAAATAAATAAAATCGTTTAACCAAAAACCGTCCGGTTTTGACTGGCGGTTAAACGGAATTGGAGATATCCGTGATGTTACAGCACTAGTAAAGGCTGTTTACACATTCAACACACACAATAAGCAAACTCTCAAATCGCGGCACACGATAAAACAAGCTAAATTTGACTTTACCGTAAGAAAAATGAATAAAAATAAAACAAAAATTGGTCTTTCAGAATTGTTGAAAAAATTCTGAATATTCTGTATAATTCAGAAGGGTTGGCAGGTATGGCAATTATGTAAACACTGCCCTTCAGCGCTACATGTACATTTGTAGCCTGAGGGCCCATTTGAATTGTGAATAGATACATATCTATTCATGTAATTCTGAATCTTTCTGCCCTATTTCATTGCTTTCTATATCAAGCATACTGGACGTTAAATATTTCAGTTTTGTTGGTTTTTAGGAGAGGAATAATTTTTCTTTAAAAATGCACCGGTTTAAGATGATAATCATAACTACAGTACATGTACATGTATTAACATTGACATTTTGCTTTGAATGTTCTCACAAAGCATTATAATCTGTGCTTACTCTGCATACATTTAATTATTTATTCTCCAGTAATTTATGGCATAAAGAACGAACTTTTGAGGCTAAGAGCATTAACAATTGAGCTTTATTTATTTGCTTAAATGTATTTTTGTACACACCTGTACTTATATCTATAACTTTTCATGATGATGAATGATAGATGATCACAGAGTATCAACTCTTTTCTCAATAGCATTTTTTATGTTATCATGATTTTAAGAATAAGAGACAGGAAAAACAGTGGATTGCGATAAACTGTTTTCACAGCAAAATATTACTTAAAATATACCTTTGCATAACATAAACAATGTGCATTAGATGTATATTGTAGGCCCATATACAATCTACATACATGCACAAACCAATGGAATTGAGCAATGCTAGTACTTTTGTACATGTTTATATATTGAGGTATAACAATGTACAATACAAGTGATTGGCATGCATATTAGGTAGGCTTATAAATATCCCTGGATCAATGAGAAAACTTATTCAATATAAACAATCAAAAAGTACACACACTGTGCAGAGCCATACATGTATACAGGTACATGTATTATTACAGGGTACTGTTACAGTGTACTGCTGTATGATGATGCATCTGTGTATGGTCTCTGTATAAACCCTGGCCTGGGAGTTGAGAGCAGGGTTATGGACACATCCAGGGCCTTTCAGTGGATGACAGGGCAGTCAATGTAGGAAGCAAGCACAGGCTGTATTATTATTATAGGCTGACTGACTGTATATTGGGACCTCCATAATAAAATCCATCATAATCTGACAGCTTAATTCACTAATTCAAACAGCTTTCCCGTACTTCCACTATGATCTTATACAAAGTACACAGGTCTACATGTATACATGTACATCCACAGTTATTTCACAGCTTCATTTGGCCGTTGTTCCCTATAATCATGTACAGTGTACATTCTCGCCCTTCTGTATTGTATAAAACACAATGAGAAAGAATGCCATTGTTCTATCTCAAGCAGCCTCTACCTCATAAATATGAAGTGTCATGGCCTAGTGCAGCTAGGGCTTCTGAAAGTCCAGACCATGGTCCGCATCTGGACCGTCGGAGCGGCTCTGCCTTTTTTGTTTAATCTTTACTATTCCCCTTGGATCAGATATAGACCTAAAACAATCATCATTTTCTTAATTCCTACAAGTGCATCACTGTAAAATTTAGGAGTATATTGTGTCTGAAACAAAATTAAATAATGTTAGAGTTGCTTCTGGCTTTTCAACAATAAATAATACATTGTTCTACTGCATTTGAAGTATACAAATAACCCTAAGAATTTTCGAGCAAATGGCATCCAATGTTTTGGACCTTTTAGCTTTCATGGAAATCATATCTGGACAATCGAGGACAAAGTTTGAGAAGCCCCGGTCTAATGGTTCATTCAGCTCTACTCCCAGTCTAAGGGTTGAGGGTTCAAATTCCAGCTTGGCGCTAGCATCCTATGGCAAAAATGGCAAGACATTAATGCACATTTGCCACTCTTAATCCACTAAGGTGTAAATGGGAACTGGATATGCTAGAGCGCTACATACTTGGCCGCTCCTCAAGGGCGATAATATTGGAGCACAAGGAGTGCCACAGCGTGTACTACATTGTATAGAAAACCACTATTAAGCTATGATCATGAGATCTATGCTACATGTATGTCCCAATAATTAGGCTTGGGAGCGAGAGCCGAGTACCCGACTCTAACCGATTCTGAAATCCAGAACCGAGGAGTCGACTCCAATCTCTAGAGAGTCGATTACTCGAGCACGTCGGTTCTGAGAAAAGGAGACTCGGTTCCAAGATAAGAACCGAGTCTTTGGCGCTGGAGTCGACTCCACAGCACCAAAATTCAAAGAGATACTTTGCAAAAGTGAACGAAGGAACATTGCCCGAACGAACTGGTGTCGATTCCACAGCACAGAGAATGAACAAAATCAGCTCTGTCAAAACAGAATGCATGCGAGCGATGGGCGCACTAGCAGCATGCTGTTTTGATACACACATTTGTGTGTGTACCTCCTTCGTAGTACTGTGCATCAGAGTGAGATGTGTGTGCTATGCATGTCTGTAACTGCCCCCCCCCCCCCCCCCAGCTGAACGTTTGACCTTTGGTAAATTGCGCAAGAGTCTTGGAACAATGTCCCCATTTTCTCTCCTCTTGGAGCGTGTGATCAAGGGTTTGATTCATGTTTTCTCTCGTGCGCAAACTGATTTATGTGACTTTGTGTTTGCTCTCTCTCTCTCTCTCTCTATCCCTAGTCTCCCCTTCCCCTAGACATCAGACGTTTAGTTTTCTTCCTCAAATAAACTAAATCACACAACTCACAATTTCCTCCTCCTTTCTCTCCCTTGAATTCTCCTCATCAAGTTTTTATTCTTCTTAAAAATAAGTTTGACAGGTCTACAATTTACATGTACATTCCCCCACCCCCTATATCTTGCTTCCTTCAGTTACTTTGTTTTCCTTACAAGAATAAATGTGGCAGGTCAACATCTCCCCTTCTCCCTTTCTCTCCCCCTCTAGCATCCCCTTCTGTTATTATTTTTGTCTCAAGAATAAGTTTTGCAGATCTCCATCTCTCTGTCTTGTGTTCTTTTTGCGGGTATTTAAACAAATAAGAATAATTCAGGCAAGTCAAGTGTCCCCTCTCGCTGTGGCATTAGCACAATCTCTAATAGTGGCTGAAAATGCAGACTAGTTATTCTGAAACCAAGATCTAGCGCTGTTATCTGTTGTTTAGAAAGCACGTGGTTAGTAGTAACCATGGGAATGGAGTGCCACGAGCTAGGGCTGGGGTCATTAAAGTTTTTGGGTGGCATTGGGCGGGCGGGAGGCCATGCGAGCATGAGTTATTTACACTTAGCTCTCAGATAAAGGTTGGTCCCTGGGAGGAGAGCCAGCGGACCAGGCATGTTTCGGATACATTCCATTTATTTTAGGCAGGGAATCAGAATCTTTAGTTTTACATAATGGATTGTTTACCGTAATATTGGAAATAATTGTTCTGCATTTCTTACATTTGAGCAGTGTAAGTACGAGTTGATTATTCCATCATTCTATGTTGAAGTTTAGAATTTAAATTAGACCTAACATGTTTTTGTTTATTTACATTGTTGCCAAGTTGCCATGAGCTATTAAATAATTAATTACTTTATTAGCAGTGGTCATGTTTTTTTCTCGATTTGATCGAAAGTAGTAAAATAAATCATTTCATAACTGTTTATGAAGGTCTGCACTTTGATCTTCTATATATATTGTTTGCATGTAATTGTAGAGATATCATGAGACGAAACAGATATAAACAAAACATCAATTTACACACACAAGTCACACATACATTCATACTTTTGATACTCATTTTTAAAAGTAAAGTTTTCCAAAAAAATATCTCAGAAAATCATCTGTTGCTATCGGTGCCACTGCTGAGTGGAGCCGATATGCACAGTACATAACATACAGTGTGTAAACACCTCCCTGGTGTGTGTGTGTGTGTGGCCTTTACAGCATTGTGGCTTCAATTACATGTACTGTATATGGCAGCCAGCGGGAGTCGATTCCACTTGGAACCGAGGCCGAGAGTGGGAACCGGAGTCGGTTCTCATCAACAAGGGAACCGCCCAAGCCTACCAATAATGTAATAATAATAATAGGCATTTCTATAGCACCGTCTATCTAGAAATTCTATTCCGATGCACACTAATTATTACCCTGGCTTTAGCCTAGCTGCCATTACAGCACTCTAGCATTTCAAGGAACTAATTGATCTTGCCAGGTACCCATTTATCTCACCTGGGTCGAGTGAGATATTTTAGCAATGTTGATTTACATGTATACTATAAGATTATTTCGGACAATATATCAATTTTCATTAATTGAACAATTCAAGGGAATTGTACCGGTAGACGTAGTAATGAATAGTGCAGGTATGTACACGTATGTAAAGCAAATTGACTACTGGCCATGTATCTTTTATTCAACTAATGACAAAATTAGTTTTGTTTTATCATGTACTCATGATGTCTATCAGTATCACATCTTGAGTTCATGCACAGTTAAATTATTTCATTTGGAATTCATTAACTTCTTTTTTTTCTGAAGGAGAGTGTATAACGTATTTACACTGCACGCAAAAACCTCTGGGTTTATATCACATTCCTGAGTTTCATCAGAAGTTGATGCAAAAACAGAATTAAAAAAACAAAAAACCTTTGGATACATTTTTTTAAAGCCCCACTGCACTACTTATAGCTTACTTGCGCCCTCTATATAACAAACAATGCCTGATCGGAAACCATTTGTCCCCCATGATCCTCTTTTTCTTATGTTAATTGAGAGCTGATTTGATGAGATAACCACCTGTCCAGTGACCTTGCAGGGTGGTCTAACCCTCCTGAACACTAGGTACAGATGAGCTTTAATTCCACTGGTTTTAGCATTCGAAATGCTCACTCTCAAAACACCAGTGAATTATTCAGGTCTTTGCCAATGTGCTCTCCTCGCTTCACCTCTGTTCAAGGAGCGGCCACGGGTCGCATGTTTGTCCTACTCTAGCTCCCCCAAGACATGAATATTTCGATGGCAAGCAAGCAAGCACCAATGTTTACAAGCTCTGCTTATCCAGTAGTGGAAATGGGTGTAGGGTTTAAAGCCCATCTGTACTAGTTTACAGGAGGGATTAGACCACCTGCAAGGTTACTGACATGTGGTTATCTCATCGAATCAGCTCTCAATTAACATACATGTACATGTAAGAAAAAGAGGATCAAGGGGGACCATTGGTCACCGATTAGGCATTGTTTGCAATATAGAGGGCGCAAGTAGCTACAGTGTGAGTGTATAAGTAGTGCAGTGGGGCTTTTAAGTTCATCCATTCTGTGCTAAGGGTAGCAAATTCCACCCAAACAATATGTTTAGATACCTTTACAGCTCAGTTCATTCCTATGGAAGCTGGATTATTCTCAGATTATGACACAAACACTTGAAGTCGATTACATGTACATACACTCCTGAATGTTAATTCTTGACAAATGCTCACGAATGTGGTATTAAACACAGAAGGGGTTCAGGGGAAAAAATACACGGGGGCTCGGTGCGAATTAGCCCCCGAAATGCCCAAAAGAGCCCCCAAAATACATAAAAAAGCCCCAAAAAAATTTGCATAGAGTTCAATGCAAAACAAATTAAAGAGTGTTATTTTCATGCAAGCATTCTTGAAAAGCACATGTACATGTAGCACCCAAAAATGTTTATTTATTAAACTTGTTTATTTATTTATTTTTTACAATGCTACAATATCATCGGTACAAGGAAATAAGATGCATGAAGTAGAAAGTCTTCTTACCATGTTTTCCATGCAGATACAAATCTCTCCATCGCTGTAATACGCTCCAAAGAAACCCACGATGTATGGTGAATTGCACTCATGAAGCACTTTCAGTTCTCGGATGATCTGATTTCTGATGGCTGGTTTGATTTCAAGTTTAATGAGCTGTGGATACATGGTTGAAATATCAGCATTAGTTCTCTGAATTGTGACAAATTCTAATAAACGAACAAATGGCATATATAGGCAAGAAACTACAACCATGCTTCTTTTGGAATATACACGGTATTATGCATCTTATATTAAAGATAATTTCTGGCGATGAAATGTGAAAACGCATTTAGCGAAAAAGGGCACTCGACCTACATTGTACACTGCTGTTTTTAGACCATGCATACATATGGGGGGGGGGGGTGGGGGGGGGGGGTAGTAAAGAATACAAGCACCCATCTCCCTTTAAGGATGGTCACGTCTCGTCGACCATGATACATATACATGTATAGATGAACTTAAACTACCGTACTTGAAATCAACCTACGAGTACATGTATGTAGGAAAGAAATTGTATCCAGGAATTTTTTCTCTCAAAAGAAATAGGGAGGACCTTTGGATCAGATGGCTAATCAATGGCTAAGGGTACTTCTGATAGAGAAGCTAAACAGCCAGTCATGTGAATCATGATAATTTTGAAAGGGGGGGGGGGGTGCACTCACAAGAGTTGCCTTACTGTATGTATTTCAGAACTAAATAAAGGAGAGCTGAATCTTGAGGTGGAGATAATAAAGGCATATGAGGGGGGGGGGGGGAGGGGGGCTTTCAGAGCCAATCCCTTTCAAAATCTTGGGGGGGGGGGAATTAGAATCATGGAGAAAGGAAATAGAAGTGATTTGAGCCAGAGGGGGCTTTTGGGCCCCAGTGTTCTGCCACAAGTTCTCTTCCAAAATCTAGGGGCATCTTGCCAAACGACTCTATATCATTTGAGCATATATGCTTACCTTTCTTGCCATAACCATACCGCTCATCTTATGTTTCACTTTAGTGACCACGCCTCCATTCCCTGCTCCTAATTCCTTAAGCACTTCAAAGTCATCATTGCAGAATTCTCCAATTTCCATGATCTTCCTCTTGTCCACCATAAATTCTTCAAGACGTTTCCTTTGGGGTTCATCAAGATCTAGATTGTCCAGTTTCTTTGTCAGTGCATCCACTTTAATTCCAGAGGTGCTTTTCCTGGTCAGTGTAAAAGAGGAGGGGAGGGGGGCAGCATCAATGGAAAGAAAAAGAACAACATCGTGTCAAAAATTCTATTTTTACATTATGTCTTTTTAAATTGTTGCTATTATTGATATAAGGGTGTTAACTTTCTAAGGAATTAACATGATATTTTCTTTAGTAATGTCAGTAATGTTTGATCTTCTTGGTAATTTAAGTAATGTCAATTCCATTTAATAGTAATATTGATTTTCTTGAAGTAATCTTGATTTGTGTACAGCGCTTTGAAACTTTTATGTCACAAGCGCTATATACATATTTTGTATCATTACTATTATTATTATTATTATAAAAAGATAACTGTCAAGTCATTCATTACACATGCTGATCACTTCTTGTTTGGAAAAAGTCGTTGCAATCAAGGATATGATTGTGGTTCTCAGTCTGTCTCATTCTGAGCTAACAGCACCTGATCACAAGTCACATGGAGAGCATATTTCCTGATTCATATTGATTAGCGAAGCGTGTGCCAGACGGGACATTATAATTCACTTAATAAGGTATATTACTGTTCACTCTTTGCAGAGGCCAGCTCTATGCAAAACATAAAATTGTTATCAATAATTATGATTATACCTACATGTTTATGGAATGTTGGATTGGATCAGGTATGCTCATTTGTATAGGCTTTTCTGAATCCACACTTAACAGGGCTTATTGGTTCTGTCACTCTGTGTGATTTTATGCATTACATTAATACAGCACTAGCAAACGTTTTTTTACTGGGCCTCTTTTTATTTGGGGAGGAATATGAGCTCAGCCCCTACATGTACTTCTTCACAAGTTTCCTTGTCCAGCATTTAAAATGTTTGGAGTGAAGGAACTCACTTGTTTACTTTACAAGTACTTGTTAACAGGTAGATTCAAAGAAAAGAAATGAATCAAATTACAATTCAATACTGAATATAAAACCAGACAACTGAGTAGACTCATATTGATAATGTTAAGCTACCGGTATGTCAAAGCGGGAATAGTTCACTGTATGTGAACATATAGCGGTAGCCAAGAGATACATGTACATTGATTGTTACATGTACCAGCCTGACCCGACTCGTTGGTGCTGAAGCACAACCAATGCTCATATAATAGAGTCTGGGCCTGCACGTAAAATTTTCAACTTTAATTCAAGTTAACACTTTTCCAATGTACACAAAAAAATTCAGTCATCAACATTGATAAATCAGCAACTTTAAGTTTGCAAACAAAAGGAAATATTCAAGAGCTTTAAGATAAAGATGTTCATGCGTGCATGGGTATGTAGTCGTTCGCGAAGTAGGCAACTTGGTGATCACTACATAACACCGAACCAACTGGTATTACGCTCCTGTGCGTACATGTACGTCCGTGTGCTGCCCTCTATATACCCACCCATGAGCAACTTTAAAAATCAATATAGAATTAACAATTGTGTTATACGCCATCTCTCACAATTTGCCCTTTCCCAATGTACACAAATCCCACACATCTTTTCTTAGTAATGCTTGACACAAGAATACAGCACAGTATATTCAGACTCGTATTTATATTTCTCAGTTTTCACGTTTCTTATCTAGACCCTATAATCTATATTTTCTTGTGCGCCTCATAAAGAGCGCAATACAAAAGCCTATTATTAAGTTACATTATGTAGATAAAGTCGTTCTCTTAGGACTACATATACAATCAACAAAAGTTAGAATTCAGATATGAAGTCTACTCTACTCTCTCATTCACTATGATCATCACACTTCTCACTCTCTCCCTCCAGCTCCTTCTTTTTATTGTTATTTTATTATTCACAACTTCAGTCTTTTAGTCTTTGTTATTGTTGATTATAAATCGTGAAAAAAACATATTTTGCTTACTCTGTCGCTGTAGTTGCAGATTGTGCTTTCTGTCCTCCGCCATTTGATTCCGATTGTATTGGCATTATTGTCAAGTTCAATAAATTTTTGTTCTTTCCGGGCGTCTTCGACATTTTGTAAGTTTGTTATTGCCTTCCGGCTTCAACTGGGCACAGAAACTATGTCACTCGCTGTCGGCTGAAACGTAGCAGAATTCGCCTTTCTAGCAAAAAATGGCTGCTCTGTGTGACTGAAAACACAGAGCTCCGTCAGAGAAGATAGTTGGATTGTTAGTAAGCTTAGCTAAACTTTAGCTTGGTGATACGGGTATCTCTTTTTCACTCGATCTTCTATATAATAGTGACAGTACCAAATCTACAATAGAAGTTCGTGTAGAATGAACAGACCGAACTGGTGCTGTAAAAGTGTTGGGCTCCTACGGCAGGTTTCGATCTTGATCTCTGGTGCGAGGTTCGTCGCCTGTGCTTATCCATCCGCAACCCGATGATAGTCGCCCGTGCGCGTTCGATTGAACTCTATGCGCAGGAAGCTCTCATAGGGAGCTTTCATTATTTATCCCATAATGCTCCAGTGCATTCAAATGCGCATGCTCAGTTCAATTAAGCACCCTTTCGGTTCATGATAGTGGCATTGGATTCGTGCATTTTCTAAATGTCTTTTATTTTTCTACGTCCCATTAGAATCAATAAACATGCATAATATTCATAAAAGAATACAACGTAACTATCCACAAAAACGTTGAGACTATCACCATTCTGAAAGGTTTGGAAGAGCGAGTCAGTGATAAATTTCAGAACATGAAACTCCCCGGTGATTAAAAAGACCTTCATCAACTAAGCCATATCGACTTTTCATAAATATCTTTCACCAAAATTAAAAGATATTTCAACAGCACTGCATGGTGTGGGAGATGTCCCCCACCCTTCACACAATTGCAAATAGGACGACAGTTATCATAAATTTTCAGCCCCTCCTCAATATGCACTTACCCCTTGTATTGCTCCTCTGGGTGTGGAAGGGGGGGGGGCTATATCTAGGGATCACATGCTGTCATAGGTTTTTAAGAAAATGAGAAAGAGAGAGAGAGAGAGAGAGAGAGAGAGATATTTAACGAAGTTACAAACGTGATCATAGTAATTAAGCTATTAAATGTGTTATGTAGGCGCCAATACGAAAGGAAAATTGTCCGATACTTCATCATTATGAGTATGACATAATTACCCATTCAGCTTTTCAATTTCTTTGCCGCGTGATGAAAACTTTCGATAGAACATTCACAAATCTCATCGCGTGTATCCTAGAGCGTTCAAACCTTCTCCTACAAACTTTATATTTCTGTGATTTCAGCTCAACTTGCCAAGAAAAATAGATCGCGCTTGTAAATAAGTAGGGCCTATTCATTTCACCGATGATTCTGCGTTTCAATAAATATGAGTTCATGGTTGCGCCACTTAAAATGAGAGTTTGAAAATCATCCCTGGTGAATGCCTCTTTTTTTAGTTGTAAGAAGTTCCCCATTTTCACCTCTGATAATTAGCCTTTGTACTTTGACACGTGCTACTTCTCTTTTCTAATAAGTGTTTTAACCCTTTCGATAAGTGTCCCCTTTTCCTCTCATCATTAAACGTGCCCCTAATTTCAAGCGACTATAAGAGCAATTCCCTCCAAAGCTCGCTCGCTACGCTCGCTCGTAGTTATAGATGTTGTAATTATGTAACTTATCAAAGGTCTTTTCAGCTAGTCTTCCGTTATGACAATGCCTGTTATGAGAACACCATCATGATTGGATTTCCCCTCTCTATAAGAAGTAATTTTCGCACCGTGGGACCTCACATATCTTAACAAATGAATTTTCAGACCATCACATCCAACTACAAAGTATGATGTTATGCAATATGATATATAAAGAGAAAAAAATATTGAAATCATCCCTGATAATGTATCACAATATAGGGGTATAATACCAATGTCTAAAAAGTTCGCTTTGAGATTTCCCTTTGAAGGTGCCCTTTTTTTTCTTCCAGAAAGTGCCCTTTTTTGTTGGTGCCCCTCACTTTGGTAGTCGCTCCGGCGCCTCTGCCCCAGCCCCCACCTCTACTCCATCATTGTAAACATATTACACGTAGGCCTATCACTATATGCTCGATCCTAAGACATTTCACAAAATAAATTCGTTTCAATATACTTCATGTCTCTGAAATTTTAGTGATGTCGTATTATTTAATTTTCAACAACTAAGTGTCGTTGGGGGGATGTAAACAAAATACAGGCGGAGGGGTGGATATGATCATTAGATATAAGAGGCAGGGAGCAGCAACCCCCCCCCCCACCAAAAAAAAAAAAAAAAAAAAAAAAGAAAGAAGGAGAGAACAAAAATCATGTATCCTCTGTCCTACAGAAACGACTGCGCTTGTGCTTGACGTCGTATTCACCGTAGAGGGCAATTACTAAATATTAACCAAGATGCTTATGGAGTTCTGAGTTTCTTCATTCGAAAGCGGAGGAAGAAAATAAATCAGGACAATACATAAATGGTAAAAAAAACATTTCGACGATAGTAATATGAGGGAGAACGGGCAAAGGAGGGAGAAGGAAGAAAGGGAGAGAGAGAGAGAGAGAGAGAGAGAGAGAGAGAGAGAGAGCCTAATATGGTCGCTTTATGTTGAATATGTAGCGAGCCTTGGATTCTCCGGTAAGTTTTTTTCTTGTTGGGGGGGGGGGGGGGGGGGGGGGGGGGTCCGAAAATTCCCTCCATAACAAACAAAACAAACAAACACGGAAGCAAACATACAATTTCTCACAAAAACAACTCGGTTGTGCTGATTAAGTTGCAGGGCTGGGTGGGAAGAATCCATGTACCTCCCCCCCCCCCCCCCCCGAGTAAACCATATTTGCAATGATTTAAAAAGGCAGAAAATATATTTAGTAACCTATTAAAAAATAGGAGGAAAATTGTAACTCTGAGAACTTCCGATTGACTTAAAGTTTGCGAGTGAGCAATGGGCAAAGCAGACAAATCCTGATATGTATTATGCATGTAGTAAAAATATTATTTGATTATCGTAGTACCCTGATAGAATGTAAATAATCTTGTCCGTATAGAACAATTATCGGTGGATGGGGTGGGGGATAAGAGGGGGCCGTATTCACACTCGCAATTAGGCATATAACATAAAGTTGTATTGCCCTTTGCGACCGACCCAAAAATTTTGAAATCTATGGTTGGTATTTTAATTTTAATTTTTTACCGTTTATTTATTTTTTATTTTAAAACTGAGAAATATCAGCCTAAAGAGGGGGGAAAAAAGAGAGAAGATTTCGGACTGACCGACCGACCGACCCAGTATTAGGGCCAGTTCATGCAGCCTTGCGCCTGGGATAAAAAGAAGGAGGTCGGGTTATTCCCGATCACTGATTGGTTGAAAGTTATGCGCGCCGAAACAGCCATTGTTTTACATGCATTGTGACGTCACAGTAGCTTCGGTGGGCATAGCGACGGCGCGGCCTTTTGTGACGTTGCTTTATGACGTCACGTACATAAACAATGCCTTTACATAATACATGAACTAGTATATCAAAAGATTAATATACAGTCGAGTCCTAACAAAAACAATGGCGGATCCAGGGGGACACAGGGGGCACGTGCCCCCCCCCCCCCCGGCCAAAAAAAAAAGAAAAGGAGAAAAAGGAGGGGGAAAGAAAAAGGAGAGGAAAAAGAAAAAAAGGGAAGACGGAGAAAGAAGAAGAAAAGAGGGAGGAAAGAAAAGGGGAGAGGAGAAAAAAGGAGGGGAAAGGGAAAGAGAGAGGAGAGAAAAGGCGGAAGAAGAAGAAAGGCGGAAAGACGGAGGAGAGAAAAGGGGGAAAAGGAGAATAATGAGAAGGGAAAAGAAAGAAAGGGGGATGATATTATTTGATTTATTTGATTTATTTGATTTATTTATTTCTGTTTGATTTTCTTTTTCTTTTGCATTTTTACAAATATATAACAAACAAAGAAGGTGTTTTTTTTTTACTGGGTAAGGGGCGGGGGGGGGGGCATGCAATTTTAATTCGAACATGACTAATACCAAATATTTTTTCTCCTTTATAACTTATAACTTAGTCTTGAATTAATTTTCCGTTATACCTATTCTAAGTGCTCTTTCAGCATGCAGATTGTCCCCGCCATTAATCCTGCCACAGTTGCTGGTTTAGTTGCCATATTATTTTCTGTCATCCCTGTGGCCGCGAAGTTTCTATCCGTTTCGCAAGCACTTTTTTCCATCGCCTACATGTAATGCTTATTGCTTCCAATTTGCAAAAGACCCCAGGGGCGGATCTGTGGGGGATGGGGTCGAACCTCCCTCAAACTGTTACTTGATTTCAAAAGACGTTATCATGAAATGCTGTTTATGTTCTCCATTGTGTTAGTAGATGCCAGGAAAACATCACTTACGGGGGTTCAACCCCCCCCCCCCAAAAAAAAAAAAAAAAATTGGGTCGAACTCAAACTGTTACTTGATTTAAAAACATGAACTGCTGTTTATGGTCTCCATTGTGTTAGTAGATGCCAGAAAAATATCACTTACGGGGGTTCAAAATAGCCCCCCCCCCCCCCAAAAAAAAAAAAAAAAAAAAAATCGCCTCAGACTTCGCGGCTCGTGGACGATGCTCCGCATCGTCATGGGTCGAACCCCCCTTAAACTGTTACTTGATTTAAAAAGACGTAATTATCATGCACTGCTTTTTATGGTCTCCATTGTGTCAGTAGATGCCAGGAAAACATCATTTACGGGCAGGCGCGGATCCAGGATTTTCCAATAGGGGGGGCCGAAGATTTGAAAAATTGCGCAGACCGTTTTTCAACTCAACATACCAATACTGACAAGGTCATATTAGAAGCACCATACCGGTACAATTTTTTACATTTTCATCGGGGGGGGGGGGGCTGGAGCCTCTTTCCCGAAAAAGTAATTTTCTGGTTTCACAATTCGGCTAGTGATGAGCGAAGCGAGCGAGCACAAATTTGAGGATAATATGTATTTTGTGAAAGTGTTATTTCTCTCCAAAATATACGAGAAAAGATATAAAAAAATTCATATTCGGGCAGGTCGCTGTCCCCCCCCCCCCCTTTACGCGCGAAGCGCAGAAGCTTTGATGTTTCATAAATTATTAGAGAAAGAAGACGATTCGTTGTACCGTTCTCGATTCTTAATCATTGTCTGAATTCAGTTTCCCCACCCCCTCTCGCGCGAAGCGCGGAAGCTGTGACATTTCATTAAATCATTAGAGAAAGAAGACGATGCGTTGTACCGTTCTCGATTCTTAATCATTGTCTGAATTAAGTTTGCCCCCTCCGCGCGAAGCGCGGAAGCTTTGACGTTTCATTAAATTATTAGAGAAGGAAGACAATACGTTGTACCGTTCTCAACTCTTAATCCTTGTCTGAATTAGACCCCCTCCCCCTCCCGCGGAAGCTTTGACGTTTCATTCAATCATTAGAGAAAGAAGCAATTCGTTGTACCGTTCTCGATTCTTAA